CCCCATATATAGTTTGAGGCCCTAATATTGGCTAAAATCCAGAAAGTGGCCTGATTTATCTTTGGATGTGTGGTGTTCATCACCTAAGCAAGCCGAATCTGGTTGATTTTGTCTGGTGGTCTATGTGGTGTTGGGCGTTTGAGGCTCATATCACTACAAACAAAGTGCCCTATACCAACGGAAGTCTATACCAATGGACAAGAATTTGTCTGTATAAAACCATGTATACCAACAGAAAATTGGAGCAGTCAGTATACATTGGTCTATACCAGCGGAAAAATATATCCGTTAATATAGAATAGGTTTATACAAACGGTTAATTGATTATTCATTTGTATAGAGTATATCTATACAAACGGATTACTGTATTTTGTTGGTATAATCCACTGTATCTGAAACACTTTTTAATTTCAGTCGATCGCACTGCAACAATCATTTCACTTCCCTCCCTGTATTCCCAAATCTCCCTCTCGAAATCCCTAGCTTCCCCCTCGCAAATCTCCACAATTTGTATTTGATTTGATAAAACTCAAAGACCCATTCAGCTAGCAGTAGAAATTTTCACTTCCCTCCACAAATTCCCAATTTGTTCTCCCTTAATCCCGAGCTTCCCTCCCCAAGTAGACCTAGTGTTTCGCCTCTCTCCCAAATCTACAAAATCTGTAATTGATTTTGATAAAACTAAAAAACCTAAGTGCTTTGGTTCCCATCCAAGCAGTCTGCCCCCTCGCCCTTGTCTGCGTCCACAACATCACCTCCAATCACCACCTTGTCCCTAGCAACCGCCACATCCCCAAGGCCACCCTTCCCCACAACACACTTTCCAGATGCCTCCAACTCCGAAACACCGCCAACCACAACCTCGTCAAACCCATCAGGAAGCCGAGGCATCATGCCGATCAAAGCATCTCCCTTGGCGTTGTAGGGACTAGGATCTTCTAGGCAGCCAAGTTCTTCATCATCATCATCATCGGCGTCGAAGAGCTTGGCTTCACGGTAGAGGCAACTTTGGCATCTCCCTTGGCATTGTAGGGACTTTGGGGTGTGCAACAAACTTTTTGTCCATTCTCCAAAGAGAGCAAAGAAAAAAAAAATTACAGGATCTCTTTCAGGTAGCTCTCTCTTCCTCACTAATTCTACAATTAACTCTGTTTTTGTTTGATTTCGTGTTCTTCTCGTTTAAGCTAACTACGTATGGTGATCTACGATTTGGTGCATTGTTGTCTTAGGGTTTAGGTCATGGCGTCGAAGCAGATCTTGAAGGAGCTCAAGGATCTCCAGAAAGATCCTCCAACCTCTTGTAGTGCAGGTTCAATTCAATTTCAATCTCTCTTTTATGTTCGATTTTGCGTTTCCGCCTGCTGGATTCATTGCTCTGTTTTTTTTTTTTTTTCCTCTCTTTCTCTCTTTCTTTCAAGTATTAGTGTGGTGATTTGTTTGTGTTTGAATTTTATGAGAAAATAGTCTTTAATTTCATTCATAACGAGTTTTTGAATACTTTAATGTCGATGGTGATGTATTGGAGGAGTGCTAAGCTTTAGGCACGATGAGCCTTTGGTTCCTTCTTTTCAATTGAAGGCTGAGACCTGAGAGTCAATGGAAAATGATGTTTCTTCTCAATTTTCGTTTCTTTTTGAGGTTTCTTATAGTGATTATGAGCTAAGTCAAGTTATTTTAGAAAATTAGGAGCTAAATTAACTCCGAGATTTTGATTTATTATTATTATTATTATTTTGAGACGAGGAAGAAGTTATACTTCCAATTGTAAATTTCTATTGTTTTGTTATTTTCCTAGACAAGTTTAGAGTTTTTGGTTGGTGATTATTTTTATATTCCTGGTTTAGGACTATTAGATTTCAGTTTTGTTGAGGATTCTATTCGAAATCTCTCCTTCTTCCCAAAATTTGTAAAATCTAACACAAAGGTAAGTTCAAACTCTCCCCTTCTTCTCCACAATTGGTAGAATCTCTGTAAATTTCAATTGTATATTACAGAGCTTATAAATTTGTTCATTGTGGACTTCTTTTATCTTTCAGTTGTTGAGATTAGGGCTTGTGGTTTTATTTTTTATTCCACTTTTAAGTATATTCATGTTGTTTTTTAGCATGCATCTATGTTGGATAGAGTATGGATTTTTCTAATGTTTGGATGATTGGTAAATTGGTAGACCTGGATAATTTTTTTCCTCTTTTGCTTTGCAAGGTTGGTAGTGCTTTGTAAGGTTTGAAAAATTGAATATGATATGTAGACAACTAGATATATCTACTATTGCTGGACTTTCAGTAACTTTAGATATGAAATGCACACACCTAGAAGTTGACTGTCAGTCTCTAATAGAGTTTGGATGATCAGTCTTTGATAGAGTTTGGATGATCAATCTCTGTTTCTTTTTCATGGAGCTTTACCTTGCTTTGATTTTGCTATATATTATCCCTACCTTTCATGGTAGGCAGAAAAAGAAAAAAAAAAAGCTTTTAATTACTTGGAAAGTTTATAATTGGTTATTCTTTCCTTTCTTCTGTTTAGTTTATACCCCAGAATAATTGGTAGAGAAATACAGCAACATCACGTTTCTTCTTTACTGTTTGATTTTGATATTAGTTGTTGCATTACATCACTCCCTTTATAGGTGAGAGGTGTGGAACCCCTTACATTTTTTTTTTGTAATGTAATATTGAATTGCCATTATTTTAGCCATTCTAAATAAACTAAGAAACCTTTGCATCTAGATGTGTAAGAGAGGAGAACTTTTGCTTGCTCTTTCTGGACAAGATCTTAGACCCTATTGGCACACGCTGCTACCTTTTTCCTATGCTGTTGTTTCAAGTGCTGTGGGATCATGCTCAGTATTATTTGCAAAATCTTTGTAAGTTAGCAATGTTAAATATTTTCCTTACCCTTTCTCAAGTAACTCGGACAATTAGTCTGTAGTCTGATGTCAAGTCTCTTGCTTTTCCAGCTCTAACCTTCTAAGGTTGGCACTGTTTAATGGTTATCAGTTGCACAGCTAGTTCACATACTCCATGCTGCTTTTGTTTCTTAGTATTGCTAGATTTTGGGTAAAAATTATTCCAAACTTATTTTATTTTTTTGTAATGAAGATGGCTTTAAATTTTTTATTAAATTTTAATTATTTTTTAGCTATCCCACTCCAGATGGCGAGGTTGAATGAAGGCCTGTCACTTTTTGATGCAATCCTTATTGTTCCCATGTTTCAAATTGCTTGGACATTCTTCTCCATCTATACAGGATTTATTTACTTTCAGGAATATTAGGTCTGGCTCCCCCCAC